TTGATTTTGAAAAGTCTGTCATAGGCCGGTGAGTTCCTCTTCTTCTCATTTTCTTCATCTTCTGCTGGGCTGCTGAGATGAAGAGACCAGAGAACTTCCTCAAACCGGTTCCCGTGTCATCTTTTCCCTGGGGAAGGAGAAGTTATATGGCCATTGTTTCCTCCAGTAATCTGACCTGTGATGGACTGTCACAAGGCCAGTGAAAATAACAATGGCCAAAAATGTGTAGAAATCCTTCACTGTCAGAATGGTCCACTTGAAAGCCATCCCAGCAGCTTGTCTTCTGGCTGCATTGGCGTTTGTGTTTAACAATTTTTCTGACAACTGCAGCAAAAAAAAAAAGACTAGGTGGTGTCAAATGCTGGGCCGGGTTTTCTAGTTGGCATGAACCGATGAGGGACAGGCTGGTAAAGGCTAAAAACCATTATAAAGCCTCATCCGGTTCTTTCAAACCAGGAACTCAGAGGGACGACTCAGACCACTTGAGTATATAAAAAATATATCGGTGCTGGTTTATTCAAAAAGTCACAGGCAAGAATTCACACTCCAAGTCCAGAGATCTTCCAACCCCAGGCTGCCCAAGCAGCCCGGAAGCAGCAAGACCCCGAACCAAGCATTGCTATACAATATTAATCCTTTCTGGGCTGTCGAACCGTGACGTCACCTGATAAGCAAGCCTTGCAGCTGCCATAACGTTTAGCCAAAACATGAGGAAAAGTCAAGGTGCGTGACTGTTGTTTTCGTGGTGTGTATCTAAAACAATTGGACATAACCTTACACATTAAGACAAATATTAAGACTAGCATTACAGTTGACACTAACAGCAGTTTTCCTGTAACCTTGACGTGCCTGCAGTCTGCACTAAACATTCATAGACAACAAATCTCTGAATATCTATCTAACTAAAAAATAACCTAACACTGGACATCCTCTTCCTCTCTGTTATGCCACCTGTCCTCTTCACCGGCAGGTCCAGCTTCACTGATGATAAAAAAAAAAAGCAAATATATTCACAAATCACAAAAAGCCAAACACTTGGTGCTGATGTCAGATTTAGTTTCTACTAACTTTGATTTGTATAGCTCCTGGATGGAGACAGAGGCTCACACATTCATCTAATCAGACAGTCTATTTGCACTGTAACAATGGTTAGCTGACCAATTTACATACACACATCAACGCTGATAGCCCATCCCAGGATGCTCATCGGGCCATGATTTGCATCACACAACCCAGGCCAGGCCTCAAACCAAGTGTTCTGAGAGCCTGCATTCTTCAACATGAGACACACATACACACCAGTAAGATCTTTACAAACCTGCATTGTGCAGCAGTAGATTTTCCTTCTGGCTGCCTGGTCCTGGAAGGTCCAGGTTCACTATCTTCACTGTAAACCCACATGTGGGAAAAAAACAGATGCATTCACTGAGTGGCCTGGTTGTGAAATTCACACATACACACCAGTAAGATCTTTACCAACCTGCATTGTGCAGCAGCAGATTGTCTCCCTCTCTTCCGCCCCTCTGGCTGGCTGGTCCTGGCAGGTCCTGGTTCATCAGCTTCACTGTAAACCCAGATGTGGAAAAAAACAGATGCATTCACTGAGTGGCCTGGTTGTGAAATTGCAATTGCTGATAGCCCCTCCCAGGATGCTTATCAGGCCATGATTTGCATCACAGAAGAAGTTGAAGAATGCAGGCCTCAAACCAAGTGTTCTGAGAGCCTGCAAAAATTGCATTTACAATGCCGTCCTTTTCATCAACATCTAGGTGGAAAGCTTGAGAGTAGTCAGGTGCATGTAAACTACATGCGTGTGACAAAGCTTGTTTGATGTCCACAAAAGCCTTTTCTGCTTGTGTGTTCCACATCAGAGCAGAACCATAGTTCTTGTAACCTGCCTCTGTCAGCATGTCACGGAGAGGTGCCACCAGATTGGTGAAATCGGGTACAAAGTTTTTACTGAAATTAATCAGTCTCGAAAACTTCATCATTTCTCTGACTGTGTTAGGTTTTGAATAACAGAGGATGTCTGTCTTTTGAGTCTCAGCTATGTGTAAGCCCAATGCTG